AAAAAAAAAAAAAAAAAAGATTAAAAATATTTTTATGTAAGCAGTTGAACATGGGCTGATGTTTTCCCCCACACCTGTTTGTTATTGCAGCATTCCTGCTGACCACAAACACTTCAGAACATTTTTATACCTAATGCAGTTACAGCTAACACAGGCCAGGGCCATCATGTCACTTATTAGTGAGGCAGAAATAGGCACAGACAAAACCTGTTGTTCAAGATTCATTGTCTTGGTAATATGTGTATCACTACTGGTGAATAATTTTCTGTTTGCATGAATGTAGGACGACAGCAAGTGAGGAAGAAGATAAAATGTTTCTTTCTTTTACCTTAGGTTGGGATGGAAGTGGCTCCTCATCTCAAAGAAAGTCTCAACAAAAATTTTTTTGACTTCCTTCTAACATTTAAACAAGTAAGCAAATACATTTGCATTGGCTGAGTGAAAGTAATGTGTTCCTTGAGCAGTCTACGATGAAAATACTGTATTGTTCTGACTGTGAGTCTACCTTTTTTTTTCTTCAAAAGAAACACAAAAACTGCACTCTTCTTAAACAAGAGTTGGCTTATAGTTTGGTCCCTAGTAGCCGTGACTACTTGCAGTATTTTTGTTCATGCAATGCACATTCCAAGTTAGAATGCTTTTCGCTGCATTATTTTACCATTCTCTAGTTTATATAACACTAAGCTACAGTATTTAATTTTATTGTGGAACGCTGCATATACTGTGATAAATTAACTACTGTAGGTGGCATATATACAGGTTTTAATAGCGTCCACTGCAGTCTTTGTGTCAAACTCAGGAAATTATGCAGAATAATTGTTGAGCTGCTGAGCATATTGTGTAATTGAGTTAACCTGATCTCCTGAAGCTTTCAGTGAACCTGTGATTTGAAGTTGTTTCCAGTTTCACAGCTCTAGTCAGACACTTTTCCTTGCCCATGGCAGCTATTTCATCTCTTACTTTTTTTTTAACAGATACATGGAGACACAGTTCAGAATCAGCTGGTAGTCCAGTGTGTGGAGATTCCATTGTATTTGACTCTCTATTCTCCGGCTATTGATTGGATTTTACAGTGTATTGCATACCGTGCTCCAGAGGTAATTGCTTATTTTTTCCATGGTAATATTTGATGTTTAACTATAAAAGGAAAATATAAAGTATGTATTTGACGGTGTGCAGTATTTTAAAGCTATAGTAGTCCAGTAGAAAAAATGAACGTAGGACTCTGCTGCATAGCACAAGGGTTAGAATTTTGTATTCAAACTTAAAATGAAAAATTCCCAGTGTATTCGGTAATGTGGAATACTTAGTGTACAAGAGCAGGCATCTTTATAGGGCTATATGTGTGGTGCATTACAGACCTGCGTAAGACCTGTTCAGTACTCCAAACTACCCGTGTTTGAAGTAAGTATTAATTCTGTTTGGTGGAAGTGCTAGAAAAGATAGCTAAGGTCAATATAAAATAAGTAAGTGTAAAATTAGAACCAGCATGTGTGTGGCATGAATGACTTTTTATCATATTTAGAACTAAGAATTGAGTAGAATTCTTAGGTAAAGTGGAAGAGTGAACATAAGATTAAACAAGAGGTTAAAATAATTGTATCACCTGGAATATGCCACACACCTGATGAGAACGTTAATGTTTATAATAAGAATCTAGGTTTTATGTTTTTATATCATAGTTCATATAAAAATATATTATATAAAATACAAATTGTAAAGAGAAAAGAATATAAAGGACTATAATATTTTTGTCCTGAATATTAAATTGCTGTGTATAGTTTTCTATCTTTTCTCTCATGTTTGATATTTTAGTAGACATCTTGTATAATAGATGGCTTGAGGAGATATTAAAGATACAGACTTCTGAAAACAGGGCCAGTGCCAGCTAGAGTCCACCTAAGATGCCCCAGATGGCAAGAGTTTTGAGTTACGTATGTTGCAAAATCAGCTGCCCAAATAATCTTGAGGAAATTAAGCATTTATTAGGTTTTTGAGCATTGGCTATGGGAAATATCTTGTTCTGATTTTTGGCTGGATACTTTTGAAAGAGAAGAAATTCTCATATGCATGTATCAAGATGCTTATGAAGGATGTTTTGTCATTGTTAAAGGGTGTGGGCAGCTGGCAGAAAGGTATCTTTTGCCAAAATAATTACTTTTAAAATTATTTTAAAGATGTAAAACGTATAGTAGGCCTCTGGAAGTAAAAATATTACACAAAATGGAAATCAAAATGTGCACCAGAGTAGGCAATCCAGCAGCTTCATCTGAACAGCAGTACAAATAGTTATTTTCCAAGGTGAATTGTGCAAGATTTGTGAATGCCAAATAAAATATTGAATCACTTCCAAGGCAAACACAATCTACAGAACTTTGAGGAAAGTACTAATAAATGTAGAGACTGGTGTAAAGAAAGACTCAGAAGAATGCTGCCCTCTCATTGGCAAGAACTGGGAAAAAGAAATCAAGGGGTAATGCTTGTATGAAAAAGTGCTTACAAGCCTAATGTTCATATGAGTAGTACCAGCAGAAAGCAGTCCTTTTTAAATACGTATTTATAGATTGTCTTGAAATAATGAAAATACTTAAAGTTGATACTTCAGCAACTCTAGAATTCATGTTTGACCAATTTTGTGTTGAACTCATGTAGCACAACCACACACCCTGGGATTAAACTAGAGCCTTGTGATTCTACATTGGGACCCTGTGATTCTGTTCTTTACACTGCTTTATCAACTTAGCAGTGCAGATTGCACCTTTTTCTTTCTGAATATCATCAACATAATGTTTTTAATTATCCTAAAATAGTCTGAAACAGACATTAATTTCTAAAGAGACATTACAACACTTCAGCATTAGATATAGAAATGAAGGAAGTCCAATCATGTGGAGTACTTAAATCCTCTGTGATTGCATCTTTTCTTGCCACTAAGTTAAAAATATCGTGTTAAAATCAAACCTTACTTATACAGAAAGATTAAAATAAACTCTAACTAATTTGGCTGTACATTTTTAAGCTCTCATGTACAGGAAAAATAATTTATCCAATCCACATATTAAAGATTAAATGAAAACAGTTGAATACACAGTCAGCATTGTTCCTCTCTCTTACTAGGCTCATTTGATCTTGCTATCTCGATCCTTTGAGTCCATTCAGTTTCTTCTCTCATACTGGTATGAACTGTTGAGGGTAATGTAGGATTTGTGATTATTTATCATAGTTGTCAAGCTACTCTAGGCTTTAGTCAATGTGTCTGCATTCTACAGTAAAGAGCTAGTGATTTTTCTCCTTTCTTGCCAGAGGTAATTGACCTGGTCCTTTCTCAGAAGGATAACCTTTTGCAGACATGAATAAAGTCCTGGAAACTTGACTTTTATAACATAGTGTTTTAGATTAAGATGTCATTGTGCCTATTTAATATATTTGTTTATGTTGCACTGCATATGATTTTTCTTTTGAGTAAATGTAGAATTTAATAAGATTTGTGGAATGTGTTGGCTAGGTCAGTGGTTGGCAACCTTACCTGGTGGCAGGTGGAATGGCCCTGCTCAGCTCTAAGGTGGGCTGGCACTAGGATCTGGCTACTACCACTTCTCTACACCCCTGCTTTTTCCTGTTGCTTGGCTCTGGCCTGTCATGGGAAAGCTTACTGACACCTGGCTGCAGAGCTGTGTGGTGTGGCGCAGGCAAAGCCCCATTCTGGGGGCTGGATCCAGTGGTTCTGCAGACCATATGTTGCCAATCCCTGGGTTAGGGAATTAAATTCTGTTCTAGTGAATGTTGATGGGGCTTCTGAAAGCTGCTAAAAATGTTTTGGGGTCGTCCAGACTTTTTTCCCTGCTCTTTAACTTTTAACAAAATAACTTCTATAGGGACTGCTTACTGAGATGATGGAAAGATGCAAGAAACTGGGGAATAAGTAAGTATCATGTAATCGTGAGACAAATTAGAAACCAAATCTCTGTTATCCTTGAATTCCAGTTATTGGTATAAGATCTTTTCACTGAAAAATTAAATAATATCAGCTAACAAAACTAAGGCATAACATCTGTGCTTACATAAGTCCGTTCCTGCCTCCCCAATGGGGAATTCCAATGTATCCATCGGTTTGGCTGAGGAGCAAATGTTAAATTCATTAACTGAACTGTCATATGAACTAGAGTTTAGCTAGGATTAGAACTTGTGGCATTCTGGATTCCCAGTCATTTCCTCTGGCTACTATTCATATTTCAGTTTTTTTCTGCTGCCATCTTACTCTCTGTGACTGGCTACTAGATGTGTATTTGAAAGGAAATTGCAAAGCATATGGCTTTGCTGAAAGATGGTAGTATTTGTGTCCATTTAAGGCTAAGAACTATTTTCCAAGTTTAGTTCAGGAAGCATATCCTTCACTCCTTCTTAACTAATTTTCCTCATTCAGATGGGGCTTGAGTTTAAAATGATTTTCAAATACCATTTATCCCATGTCCAGCCTAACCATGTTAATTCAGAAAGGCTGTACATAAGTCTTGAACATACTTCCTGACTTACGGGATTGATAGTTTTGGTATGGATTCAGTTTATTCATATAAGTGGGCAGAAGTTCTGTGAACAATTTTCAAAAGCAATCTTATTTTGCTCGAATGATCAAAAACACATTGTCCACTTTATGCAGTCACATGACTGATATTGCAATAGTTGTCTTTTTGCTTAAGGAGTCAGGAAGTGCAATTAAAATTGGAAGTGGGAACACTCTCTTATGCTTTTTGTCTAAGGATGGAGCAAAAAACATCCTTAGATTCTACTGTTCCAACATCGGTATATGGATTATGGTCCATTCTGCAGAGTTTGCTTAAATTACTTTTTTAGTATTTTGGGTGGTGAAAGCAGACTGCTTCATCTGGGCACAACTGTCTGGTTTGCTTTGCAGCAGTGCAAACTTTGCAATGTAGCACCAAGAGAACTGAGAATTTTCCCTGTTTGCATTTAATGGAGTGTTAACTTCAGCATCTATTTTTGACCTTTTAAAACCTTACACCATTAAGCTAGGTTTTTTGTAGGTTAGTATCATTAAAGGCAAAGTTTTTCCCTTTGCATACTCAGGATTCTCATTAAATAATACAGATTTATATGGTGATTTTCAATTCCGTATAAAGAATCCCAGTGCACTTGTTAAACTGGATGTGCAGCATCACTGGGGTGAATGGAAGAAGACCTGTGCAGACAGCTGTGCGTATTAACTGGTAGATTAGAAATGTTTGTCCACGGATAAGCGAAAATTCCTGTTAAGTGCTGTGAGATGACTGAAGTTCAGTCAGAAGAGACTGGACACTAGGTTTTTAAAATGTTCTGTAAAAACTCAGATGGCTACCTACATTATATTGAGTTGACTTCAGAGGGATGAATGTCTGAATAGTCTTGCTGGGGATAAATCAACATGGAAGCTGGACACATGCATCTCAACAGAATTTGTCTTTGGGCATTTGCTTTTTAAAATGTCATATCAGGCACATGCATCCCAGCTCCTCTCTCTTGCTGTCTGTGTGCAATACATTGGCTTGACTATTCAGTAGATAAATTGGATAATATGGAAATACAAATAATGTAAATTTTTTTTTATTTTGTGAGCTTAATCTTTGAATCTTGCTTAATGTTGCTTTGGGTCATTTCTGTTCCAATAATTTCACTCATAGAAATCAGACTTTACAACAATAATTTTTTTTTGGCTAATGTAAGAAATCTTAAAGGCTTTTGTCAGACCAAATGGTACTTTCAACAATAAGGACTGTAGACAGGAAAAGAAGAGAAAAATTCAGCAAATATAAAAAAGACTGCTTTGATGTGACTACATGACTTCAGCTTGCCTTTAATTTAGTGAATGAGGTACCAGTATTAAAAAAGAAATTTGTTCTCAAGTAGTGAGAATATGGAAGAAATTTGACCCTTATGGAAGAATTGTGATGTATAATATGATTTAAGCACAGTGAAATGGTGCTTTCCTAGAGGTAAAGCAAAGGAAGTACTATAGTGACTGGGATTTCCATAACATCCTATAGCTTAGTGGAGCTTTGCCATACTTACTGTCGTCTTGTCTTGCCAGTGCATTGTAGTGCAGCCTGAGGGTTTTTTCTTTGTGTCCTTAGCCCTTGCTTTCTGAAGTAGAACCTGAATGGTAGTTAATCTTTTGAAGTTCAGATTAATGTAAACTAGAGAATGGAGAGCAGCTCAATTTATGTTGAGCTGAGCTGATTTGCATCATATTCCTTGTAGTGCCTTACTTCTGAATTCAGTGATGTCAGCATTCAGAGCTGAGTTTATTGCTGCAAGGTCTATGGATTTTATTGCCATGATTAAGGAGTGTGATGAATCTGGATTCCCCAAGGTAAGTTCTTTTTGTAATTTATAAACCTGCTTATTCATTATCTTGCCAAGAGCTTCATGCATTTAGCTCGTTGTCTAAATGGTACATGTGGGATTAAAAACCAGGTATCCCATATACGGAAGTAACTATTATATAGGTTAGATAAGGTGACTTAAAATGTAGAACACAAATAATGGGTGTTAGTGTGAGAGTATACAAGAATTTCTCTTGTTGTGCCAGAGCATGAACCAGAAAGGTCTATTGCCATTCATTTATGGGGAATCCTCTTAATAGTTGGCCATTCCAATGCTAGGAAGAAGTTCTAGGATTAATTTATTTGGTCTCTTTCACAAAGGGTATATTTCTACTCCTCCCAACTTTGTTTTCTAGTTGATATAGTGATTTAGTCTTTCCCAATTCAAACCAATGGGAGCTTTGCAAGAGCAGGAGCAGGACATCTAGAAGTTACTTTTTGACATCTGAAAAATATGCATGTATTAAAAAGGAGAACAAAAAGCTGTGTGTTTTTTCAGGGTATGTATTGAGATGCATTGCTAGTTAATTTCATGGCTGATAGTTCTCCAGCAAAAGTATGTAATAGCTCAGACTTGAGCAAAGGATTCATTCAATTTAATATACCCAGCTTTTATAATTTTGGAATAATAATACTGAAAGTGTTACACTTTCCAGTGAAAAATCTGTTGGTTATATGATAGGATGGTCTGATCTCTTTTTCAGCACCTTCTCTTCCGCTCCCTGGGGCTAAACTTGGCATTAGCTGATCCTCCTGAAAGTGATCGCCTTCAAATATTAAATGAAGCCTGGAAAGTTATCACAAAATTAAAGAACCCACAGGTAGGTCATTGATAAATGTTGGGAGCCAGTTGTTTTAAATTGGATTTAAAAAGATCCCAAAATTACAGATGTGTTTAGAAGAGATAGACAATAAATGTGACATTGCCTAGTTTACTGTTCCTAGATACTCAGTAGTTGCCCAGGCAGTGTGTACTGGTTGCTTCTCATGATCCACAGGTTACCTCAGTTCTAAAATGTAGCAGTGCTACTGGACATCTTGTCTTACAAAGGCAAAATTTCAGAAAAACTGTCCAAGTAATTACCTGAGTGCATACATTGCTAGAAAAGAAATAGAGATTGTACAACCTGATAGAGCTTTTAAAGGTGATATATTCTATTGACCATAACACAAATATTTATATTTTCTCTAGGATTATATTAACTGCGCTGAAGTGTGGGTGGAGTACACCTGCAGACACTTTACAGTATGTGAGAATTACTTTATTGTTTTAGCTGTATAGGCACTAAGTGACTGTATAGCAGTTTACAGTAGGAAAACCAATGGTCGTAACAAACAATAGACTTCTTTTTCCTATTTAGTATCTGCCTGTAAGACTTCAATGTGTGATAATGTTAAGGGGTATGATATGTTTTTCTGGGATCATATTTTTTTTAGTACAAAAGTTGAATCAATACAAAATGATGGCTGCATCACGAGACCTCTTAATTGGTCACATATGTATTTCTCACCTGTATATGGAACATGAGGGGAGAACATACAGACCAAATTATAGTAAGTGCTGGTAGGACTTCAGCTATGAGTTATCTGGCTTCCACTATAGCTCTGTAAAGTATTAATTCTTTTGTAAAGGAGAACCTTGGCTGACATTAGCACAGTGCTCTAGTAACTTAAAAGATGAACCAGTTTCTATGCTGTGCTTGTGACATCTTAATTTTTACTACACAGAAGCGTGAGGTCAATACTGTTCTGGCAGATGTTATCAAACATATGACTCCGGATCGTGCTTTTGAAGAGGCTTATCCACAGGTAAGAGACCTTCTTTTGTTTCTGTGAGAGCTAATATTTTTTCCAGAAAAAAATCATGTGTGCTAAAAATTGCTGTTGTATCCTGCAGCATAATGATTATATTTTAAATTGTCTCCTTATAACTCGGGAAGCATTAGGACAATGTAATGCTATGGAACGGTGCTCTGGTCTAGATTCCTGCACACACACGCTCACACAGTGCACATTAACTAGAGAAAAAATTGAGTGACTTGCAGATATACAGCAATGTAATGATTATGTACTGTATTTTTACATTTAACTTGTAATGAAATTACTTGCATTTTCCCCTTTTTCCCCAGCTGCAGTCAATTATTCAGAAAGTTATTACTTATTTCCATGACTTTTCCATACTTTTCTCAGTGGTAAGTTGCTTTTTAAGTTTATGTTCTTTCTGGAACTGCTTGTCTTTAGGAATGTTGTGCATTTTCTCTAAGGAAACATAACCTGATTTGATTATCTAAGTCAGCTGGAAACTTGCTCGGTGAGAAGTGTTTTTTGTCAAGTATAAAACTGTTAAAATACCCGACGAAGTGTTAACTGATTACTTCTCAAAACCCATTATTTTAATTATAATATTTCACACTTTCTTCTTATTAGGTTATAGGGCTGTGTAATATTTTTGTTTTTTGTTTAATGGCAGCAGAAGAAGCTCAAATTAATACAGTCTGTTTGTGGGCTGTGCTGATATAACTCCTGATACTGCTTCCTTTCTGTGTTTAATATATATTTTACTGTGTCAAAAGAAAGAACTTAGGGTACAATTTGAGAGGCTAAGGGAAAGTGAAGAGACCAATCATTTTGTGGTAAAGACAGAATAACGATGGCATCCTGTTTTTTATATTTCTGTAGCCTGAGTAAAAGGAAGCATTTCAAGAAGCTCATTGATTTAGTAATTGTTTAAGCTCCTAAATCACTTAAGCACTTCTGACAATTTTGCCCTCAGTGTATTTTCAGGATAGTATATAAGCATTTAGTCCTCTGGCTACCTTAGCAATCTAAATTCAGTGCCTAAGGGACATTTAACTATTTTAAAGCATCAGCTTTAAAATGGTGGCTGGCATTCCTCCAGTCCTTTGCAGAAGAATAATAATTCCTATTTCTAATACCCTAAGACTTGCTTTCACAGTCCTCAGACTTTTCAGTAGAAATCACAACTGTACCTGAGCTGCCTTCATCATATCCATGTGTTTAAAACTATTTTTCTATATTTGGCTAAATGCATTCTAAATGTTGCATGTTATACTATAGTCCCTCAGCCAATACTCTTCTTATTTGCCTCTATTTGTACTACCATTTAATTATCTCATATTATTTAGTCATATTCTTATAGCTGTGGTATCTTTAAACTTCCCTATTACGGATTATTGTAGTGTTAGAGCGGTGCTGTAGCTGGGATGACAAGAATTATGCGAGGCAAGGATTTCTTAGGGTAATATCTTTTATTGGACCTACTGCAAGTTGAGATAATCTAGCTTTTGAATGCAAGAGATTGTTCATTAGGACTGAGGAGTGAATGCTAGCACAGCATAAACCAGCACAGCACCACACTGGATAGTTGGAAGAGCGGGGAGAGAAATTCTCAGGGGTATCAGACAAACAATTAGCAGTGTTAAGTCCTTGGTTCTTAGTGTCCGGCTTTCTTTTTTTTTTTTTTTTGTTCCCAAGCTTGTCTTTTAAAGGTGTTAGGTAGATTTCCCTTGAACAAAAGGATAATGAGGTCAAAAACTAAGAAATTTATGCTTCTTGCAAATTAAGGATTAGTAAAGATATTTTTCAGCACAGAACAAAATCTTTTATATGGAAAATGCTTCAATTGACTTGCTTCATTTTTATTTGAATTTTTAGGAGAAATTCTTACCATTTTTGGATATGTTCCAGAAGGAGTGTGTGAGAGTGGAGGTTTGCAAGTGCATTATGGAAGCTTTTATTAAGTAAGTGGAAAATATTCTGATTAAGTGAGCTCTAGAGGATCTGGGCAATCTATTGAAAGATGGTTGTATAAGATGTATCGAATCAGTGTGGAGTCCACTTAGCATCTAAAAGGTGCCCAGACTAAAAAGAGAATGTAAACATATTTGTGGTCAGTGTTGTTCGATTGCTTATTAACTGTTTACAATGACTGTCAGGATTAGAGTAGTCTTTATTCCATTGTAGATGGGTTGTTGTTAGGGCTTTCTTCAATTTCCATTGCTACAGCTAGTTTTTATAACAAAATGCTATGTTTTCCTGTCCAGTCCTGTAACACTAACAGTGATCTTAACATATGAATGAGAAAAGGAAACAAATATGCACATTTCTTACAAGCTCTATTATAAAGGCAGAAATAGAACAGAAAGTGAAATTGAAAGATGAGAATTCATTTTCAGACATGTCAATTAATTATTTTAAAAGAATCCTTTTCATTTGTCATACTCATGAGATTCTTGAAACTTTATTTTTATTCTCACATCCTTCGTTGGGATATTCAGATTTCAAATAGAAATATTATGGGATGATAATTCAGTGATGAAAAATTGATGAGAAGTGATACCTAGAGCAAGTTTATGTAAGAACGTTCATTAGCATGTAACAAATACCAAATTGTTATTTCCTGTTTAGCCACTAAGAAAACATTTTAAGAATAAGAGATTCAATTTCTGCCTTTTTGTTTATATTGGGTTACATCAATTGTTTATGTAAAAATACTGTATGTCAGAAATTTCATAATTGGTGGAGTGTGGCTTAATTTTTTTTTCTGCTACTAGTTTAAAATTTATTAAAATCCTAGTCCAGGGTAACTAGTAGAAGCCTACAATGTTTGGCTCTCAAGAAAAGGAATTCCTCTCACCCACTCTAATTCCTCCCCAAAGCCCAACTAAGTTAGAACTGGTGTTAGAAGTTCAATTCTTTTGTCTTCTAGATGAACTATTTATAGGATTAAATATTAGCCGACTCTGACTGACTTCTTTCATCCCCTCCCCTGTGCATCCATATGTTGCGCTGGTAACCATTTGAGCCATGTGACAGCGAGGATCACACTTATTAATGATGTTTCCAGGGTTACCTCTGCTTGTGACAGAGCTGGGAATCTGTACTAAACACTTCCTTATTTATTCTGTTGAATGAAGCAGATCCATTGCTGCTCTACACTACTGGCCATTCTTTACTCAGTAAAAAAAGTTTGCTGCTTAGTAATGCCTTGTAATCAACAAATTTTTAAATGCATATAAAATGATAGAACACAAGCATTCATTTAGTGTAGTTTTATAGCAAATAACCCATATTCAGTATAAAGAACTAAGAGCTCGCTGCCATGCTAATATCTCCGACTTAGGGACTCTTTGGCTGTGTCACTAGGCCAGGTGTGAAATCTCTGCCTTAACTAAAGCTCTTGCTGCTAAAGTGAGTTGAAATAGGGTTACCATATGTCAGGTTTTCCTGGACATGTCCTCTTTTTGGATCCTCCCATCTTCGCCCAGGCATTTTTTTTTAAATCTCAACAAATGTCTGGGATTTTGCTCTACCTATGTTTAGCATTGAAGTTTTTCCCAGCACTTTCTGGCTTGCCCTAGCTAGGAGCTGCTTCGTGCTGGGGGGAAGTGATGAAGGACAATTGGAAGCAGGGCATGCATGGTCCTGGGACTGCAGCAGGGTGGGAGAGGTGACTGCCTCTCCAGTGAGAGAAGGGGGCAGAGGGGCCCTTTGGTGGCAGCAGGGAGCTGCATGGCTGGGCTGGTGGCACTGGGACCAGTGTGTGTGCCCTCAGGGACAGGGCAGCGAGGAGAGGTTGGGGGGAGCAGGGAGCTGTGGGTCAAGAGTGAGGGGCACTGGCAAGGCTGGGGAGGTAGGGGGCTGTGGTTCAGGGCTGAGGGGCCTGTGGCTTGGGAGTAAGGGGCACCAGAGGAGCAGAGGACTGTGGGTTGGGAGCGTGCAGCACAGGCAGTACCAGGGGGCCGTGGGCTGGAAGTGAGAAGTATCAACAGGGCTAGGGGGGCTGTGGCTTGGGAGTGAGTGGAAGGGGTAAGGCATGGGTGTATCACTGCCCCCCCAATCATATTACCACCCCCCTCCGTGACAGGTGTCCTCTTTTTTGAAACTGGAAGTATGGTAACCCTGATGTTTTGTTGTTGTTTCCTAGCATACACAGGGGATTAATAGTGCTTCTTTGGACCATTGTGAGATAGGGTAATAAAGGGGGCCCTACTGGAGGAATTTAGGGCATTTTTTCTTGAGGACACTTTGCTACAGGCTTATACTGAGGTCTGTTTGAATTGTCAGTGAAGTCAAGCCCTGGGAAAGAGATGAATTTTAAAAGGATCAGAGGTACTTGCTCTACAAGGAGAGTAGAGTGTGACTTTGGTCCCTTATTTGCATAGGCACATATGACTGGAAGGGGTCTTCTGGGCCACCAAGTCCAGTCCCCTGCACGTGCAGGCAGTCGTTTAACCTAATGAATCTTCAGCAGTGCCACTGCAAACCGTTATTCACAACTGAAGGGCACAGTACCTGAAACACCTGGGTGAGGCAGGGAGACAAGGGGCACTGCCATTGCCATGTCACTCGAGCCTTGTGGAAGTTGTTGGTTAACCTATGTTCAAGACCCTAGGACAGTGGGTTTTCAGTCTGTGGTCTGCAGACCCCTGGGGGTCTGCAAGCTGTCTGAGGGGTCTACGAAAGACGACCATGATCAGTCAAAATATGTGAATACTCATACTTACCATTCAGAAGGGTCCATTCAAAATTTGTTAGGGTTCTGCAAATGAAAAAAGTTTGAAAACCACTGCCTTAGGAAATCACAGAGGAAAGCAACCCACAACCTGCCTACAGTCCTTGCCAATCTTTCTTAAGAGAACTGTTTTTTTGGCAGTTGTTGTGACCCTCGATGGAAGAGTGAGGAAACACCCTTGGTTTTCTAAGTAGTGGTAGGATCATTAGGGCACCCCAGTCCAAAACCTCTAATCTTAGCTGTGTATTAATTACAGGCATCCCAGCACCTCGGGGGAAATCAAAAAACACCTAGAAGCCTGTAGCATTTGTTAGAAGTGGGGGCAAGAGAGGAGGGATGCAGTGGAAGCAACATGCTTGTTGTCTGAGGCATGAGGTTATCAGACTCCTTCAATACTGCAGGTGCTACCGTCATACCCTTGCAAACATACAACCCCGTGGGCACAGTGACTGGCACGAAAGAACTCCCTGTCCTATTGCACCATTCCTTCCACAGACTTATCCAGTTCAGTTTTAATGAGATTGCCACATCATTTTGTTTAGCAGACCATTCCAAAACTTCATACTTCTGATAGTTAGAAATCTTTAATTTCAAATCTAAATGGATCTGTAACCATTTGATCTTGTCTTAAAAGCTTTTCTTCTTTCCTAATATTCACTCGCTAAAAATAGAGTGATCATATCTCTTCTCAATCTCCGTTTTGCTAAATTAAGCCAAGCTCTTTTAATCTTCTTTCATAAAAGAAGGGTTTCCATACCCTTAACCAATTTAGGCAGAAAGCAAGGCAGGGTAGTGCCTTAGAGACTAATTGGTTCAGAGAGGTATTAGCTTTTGTAGGCAACAGCTTACTTCATCACATGCTGTGAATGTACTTAACCATCTTTAGTGGTCTTTCCTTGGGTGTTCCAGTTTAATTTAATCATATTTTGAACATTGGTGACCAGAACTGCACACAGTATTTTAAATGGGGGCTTACAAATGCTTGGTACAAAGTATATGTTCCACTAATGCACATAGTTCCTAAGGACTTTTCTGGAAGTTGAATTACAGTGAAAATTGCTGACATTTTAAGTCTATATCAAACAGTTTTTGCTTATCAGAGTTAGAAGCCTCCACCCGCTTCCTCTTTTAAACTTCCATGTAACCTCATAACCCTTCTGTGGCCCTTGGCACTTGATTGAGTTGTGCTGAGCCATCTTATCCTCCCCTTCTGAAATTCACAAGGGAGCAATTTCTTTCAAAATATCTGCTGAAAATGACTTTGAAGATGCCACCCAGTAGCATTTCTTATTGCCGTGGTAACAAATTTATTTTTTTGGAAGTGATTTAATGACACTGGTATTAATCTGTGGCATGATTAACACATCAAGGTGATGCACTCCCAGAGCCATATGTTTGCCTTCTTAAAGGCCCCGGCATGCCTTTCTGCTCTGCCTTTGAAGGGACTAGCTTACTTTCCGATATTTTTATAATGGTTTTACTTTCAAGTTTTCTGGGCACATCCAAGAAATCTGTCTAGATTTACACATCCTATAAGACTGGGGATATATGTGACTTGGTAATAATAGGCCTCCTGTTCAGTAATTACTGACTTTCATACTTAATTGTTTTTGTCTCTGTACCAGCTATGACAGTGAGTACACTGCTTTGTGAAAAAAATACGTAACTCAGTGCTACACCCTGTAAGATGTTCTTTTGAGGCTGATGTACAAAGATGATTTCTCTACCGTTGCAATTCTTTGTCATTACATTATGAAAAAGCTTTCCCTTAGAAATGAATTATTAAGTGAATGTTAATTGTTTTTTATCCCCACTGTTTTGTGTCTTGGAAAAAATGCAGCATTTTCCAACATTATTTTCTTATTTTTTTAGGCATCAGCAAGAATCTACTAAAGACCCAGTCATACTCAATGCTCTTCTACATGTGTGCAAGACCATGCATGACTCTGTGAAGTAAGATCAGTTATATATGTTTTATAAGGCTTGAATGCTATGATTTACAGTTCTAATTTTGGGGGTTAACAATTCAAAATGGCTTTACCATTCATGGGAGTGATGCAGTGTAGTTGCAGCATGGACTCTTTCCTCTTGAATTATTGTTCTGAATGCTCAAGCAGAGTACAAATGGAAGATGACAGTTACTTCATGGGTGTTCCTAGTGGGAAGGGAAGTAGCAAGGATCTTTCTGAGAGTAAAAACCTGTGAAAAAAGTAGTAGAGGCAATTAAATGTTGTCAGTTTGGGTCCTTTTCAATTTATTGTATTTACTCAAATCCAAGGAATCAGGCTTCAGGGGGGTCCAGGGGGTGAATAGGCACCGGCACAGGCACACATGTGGCGGGGGCAGCAGCAGAGGAGCAGACAGGCAAGGGGCAGGTGTCTGGCCCCCCTGCTGCCACTGCTTTTCCTGCCACAGCAGTGTGGGGGAGGGGGAAGGAGAGAAGCACCAATTTAAGGCTACATTTCAGTAATTAGATTCTATACATGGAAAATTCTAACAGTTCTAAAAGTGTATGGAATCTAATTATTGGGGGGTCATCTTAAATTTGAAGTCATCTTGAATTTGGGTAAATATAGTATCTGTGATGATAAAAACTGGAGTCTCTTCTAAGAACTACTATTAGTAAAATATATAAGGGGTTTCAGTTCATTTTGCCATTTAAAGTACGGGTCCCAATACTCAGTTATCCTCTAGTTGCTTCCAGTTTATCACTCAGTACTTGGCAACCTTAGATCTGGAAAAGAATATGTAGAGAATCTCCTTTGGGTAGGGCTATTCTTGGATGATATAGAAGCTCCTGTGTCACTTCCCTGGCTTGGCAGGGAGAGAGAGTTGGGTGTCCCTTTCTTCCACTGATTCCTGACTAATGTTTCTCTGAGGCTACTGGTATAGGAACAGTTTAGAACAGGGTTCCCTTTTCTCCAGGATCCCTCTTCTATACTGAGTCCTCAGCAACCATTGCTGAGAATCCATCCCATAAGATTAGCTGCTACTAGTAATCAAGTTATTTTTAGAAAAAAGAACTGCCCCTGTATCAAACATCTTCAAATTGATACCAATCCAAATGTTAAATTTTAAGGTGTGTCATCTTTTTTGGCGTCTCTCTGGGATACCAGTGCCCTTTCAGTGCCTAAGCAGTGAGAATATTGGAAGCAAAATTCAACATTAAGGATTCAAGGAAGTTTCCTAGTGGTCTGTAGTTCACACTTTGTCTGATCTTATTGCCAAAGCAATTCTGAAACTTTTATTGGGAGTCTTGAAAACCCTTATATTAGTAGTTCCGTTAGTTAGCTTCATTTGTTTGATTCTGTTCTGTCAACTCTTTCAGTGGCAAATTTGTATTTAGATTTAATAAGTTTAAACTACCTCTTCTGAACCATTGTTCATGAAAAAAAGGCAAAAGCTTCACTCCTGGGTCTAGGGCTCAACATGACATAGACCAACACAACAGCTGTTGAATGGTAATAACGTTGGGGCTGTAATACCAATCTGGTGCAGAATTAAACTGACAACCTATATAATTGACCCCATAGATCCCATTGCAAATCTCCTGTGCCATCCAGACCGCCATCATTTGCTCTTTTGATTGGCAATGTGCTAATGAGCTAATTGTGCTAATACTTTTCTTTTTTTCTACTGAATTTGTATAATAAAACTATTGTTCTGTTTCCATCTGGTGTCTGTGTTAGGAAAAAGGTAAAATGATATGCTGGAGGTCAAAGCTGCAGCAAAATGCTAAAAGGATTAAATGGGCTTACTTAATTTCAACCTAACTTTTTGTTTATTCACTCTAATCAAAATAGACTTGGCTTATTAAATTTTAACATGATGTAAATTTGCCTCATATTGAATGTGACCTCTGCTTTCTGAAGTAAAGATTACCATGAGGACATCTATCTAGATACTTTTATATACTTTAATGCAGTTTATAACAGCATGACATCTAGTGAGCACTGTAATATTCACATAGTAATGGCCACAAGCTCCTGAAAAATCGATTCAGGATCAACATTAAGAACAAAATCTTCACAGTCAGGGTGTTCAGACTGTGGAATAAGCTCCCTCCTAGCGGTGGTGCAATCCCCTACCTTGGAAATCTTCAAGAGGAGACTGGACGGTCACCTTGCTAATCAATTGAGAACTGAAACTTGAAAGAAAGTTTAATACCATAAAGAGTAAGGAACATGAACATAGATTAGCTATTTTTGTTCTTATTGATAGTTGATTTCAAGTCATATTTGCATTCAGATCTTTATTCTGTAGTGCAGTGGTACTCAATCTTCTGGCCCCATGGGCCAGATAAGTGGTGTGGAGCCTGTCTGCAGGCCAGATCCTGGAAGCAGGGTTGGTTCATGGGCCAGATTCAGCGTGAGGTCAGCATGCAGGGTTGATCTACAAGTGCAGTCTGGCCAGCCCTATACACCAACGACCTGGCATATGTGGCCTTTCCATCTGGCCTGTGAGTCCCATAGGTCCAGAAATTTTGCAGTGGGAAGTAGTAGCAGCTTAATTTGCTGCCTCTGGAAGCCCATACAGTTAATGCTGCCACCACTTGCCTGCTATCATATTTCCAGACCTGTGGAGAGCTCCACAGACTGAATGAGACAGTCCCATGGGATAGATTCAGCCCCTGGCATGGAAATTGAGCACCACTTGTAATACAACACTTCATCCACAGACCTGCTAAACTTGTTTAGGAATATTAATTAGCTTAAACGCCATCTCTTTTCATTGGTATTCAAAGTATTTCATAGCCAGATTTCTATCGGTTGCTAAACTTTGTAAAATCTTAATTTTTTTTGTTGAACTTGAATATTAGTGCAGACTTGATCTGGCAGTATCCCTTTACTAGTGTTGAAATTGACAGATGGTTATAAATACAGTCGTCTTTTCAGAGTGTTTAAAATTGTAGTGTAATGCCAAAATTATGATTAACATCTCACTTAATAACATACTGTTTTGTATGCGGACCTGACCTTTTAAAAATAATGTGTAAGATACACACATGAGCTTATATTTGGAGGTATATATTTTTTGGAGAGTGGCTTATCTTAATTATTGACCATGTAAACTTACTTTTTTTAGTGCACTAACACTTGAAGATGAGAAGAGAATGTTAGCAGCTTTGATAAATGGATTTATAAAAATGGTAAGTAGCTGTTGTGCATGACTGCCTATAAAACTTAGAACTGGAATTCTAAAATAGCCCACTGTGGTTGCCAATATACTATTGAAATTCAATCCAAGTTGCATATCTAACTCATTTAGGTCTATCAAAAATCCCAGCCAGGAAGTATTTTGTAAAGTAAATACGCAGATGTTTGAAGGAACTGTCAAAGAACCAATGATGGTGAGTTGGTATCACATGTATAGTTTAAAGTGTGGGTATTTCTAAAGATGTTAAATCTTCTGGTTATTTTTTTTGTTTGTTTTTAAGTCTCATACAATGATTACATTCTTGCCTATTGTGAGCAGTATCATTAGTAGATTGAATTTTGCCAGTCCCAGCTGAAGGGGATGAAGGCAAAGTAAAAACATGAAGTAAGACTTAAAGATTACAGGTGCACTGATACATTGGTCTGATGTTGGATCGGCACCGATATAAAGAAAATTGATTGTATCAGAAATTGGCCTGATGTGGTCAATAACTGGGCCGATAAATGCCGGTGCATGCAAACAGGTGTTGTGCAGCACACAGGCAACAAGGAGCACAGCCTGGCAGCTTGGAGAGCTGCATGCAGCTGGGAAGTCTGTTGTGTTGGAGAGGGGGAAGGAAAGGGCGTGGGGGCAGATCAACACCCACTGTGGTGAGGGAGGAGTGGGGTGGGGGCTGGGGCAGGACAGGGCGTGGGACCACAGCTGTGGTTTTTCTGGGGGATGTAGGGTTGGGGGGAGGTGGCTTCCACCGCTGCACGTACCATACGAGGGCACGAGGGGAGCGTGTGTCCCTGGATCTGGGTGGGGGGCAGGGCTGCACCAGGCTCTTCCCGGGGCGGAGGGTTAGGCCGGGGCTGCACTTAAGGTAGGTGGTAGTGGTGCTGGGAGGGGGGGCTATAGTGAAATTTGGGGTGGCTGCAGCCCCCCCCGCCCCTCCCTGTAGTCCCAATCCCAGTGCCACCACTGCTGCCCACTCTGAGCTCAGCCCAGTGTAGCCTCTGCCCCACCCTGCACAGATCCGAGGGCATGCACCGCCCTTCCGGGGTGCGCACACCAACAGGAGCCCTCTCCCCCCTGCACCTCCTGGATGAGCCACAGTTCCATCCTACGCCCTGCCCTGGCTGGGCAGCACCTGCCCCAGCCCCACTTCCTCCCTCACCACAGGGGTGTTGATCTACCCCCCGACATCCCTTCCCTCCTCCCTCCCCTTCTACCACAACAGACTTACCAGCTGGAGGCAGCTATACTGGAAATTGGATTGATATCAGCCAATATGCCTCCTTAAAAATCTGCTATCGGTATCAGCCCCCAAAATATTGGTTCACCCCTGTTAAAGATTAAAAAACATCAGGAGTTTGGACCCATCGAAATCAGGATGCTGGTATAAAAATATAAAACCTCTCTGATATATTTTGTTACCTTCTAATTTTTGATCCTTTGGGTTGTGTTTCTAGAGACGCTTTCCCCTATGATCCGTGAAACTAGAAACAGTTTTTGAATAAGAGATTTTTGTGTAATTACTTGGCTACACAAGAGAGGTCTTCAAGAAAATAATCAAATATGGTAGGACTTTTATTTGCTGCATGCAAATAAAGGATGTTCCACTGGCTTTTGAGGTAGAAGCAAATTAGAAGTTGGGAGTATAAACACTTCCAAATTTATACTTGGTTTCTATTATCACAAATCCTGGCTCATCGTTTAACCATTCATAGCAACCAGGCTTTCCCCATTTTTCTCAATGTCTTCTTTCTTCTAATCGGATGGCCAGTCTGCTTTGTACTTTTATCCGGCTAGACAGTTTCTCTTCAACTTAATATTCATTAATAGCCATCTGTTTATTGCTTGAAAGATTTCATCTGATAGTTCTTTACCACATAAAATATTGCAGAACTTCTCAGAGGGGAAATTGTAACATATTAAATATGTTTCTCTGTAGTTGTAGAAGGTTCAGTAATGGTATATAATGTGTAATGCTGATTTAAATACAGAAGCACAGTGCAGTATCAGCTGGGTGGTAACTTGAAATTTGTGGCGTTAAACTCTGTGAATTCCTGCCTTGTTTAATATGCTTTGTGTTATAACCCAAGTTCTCACGGCTTGCAGCCTCCTCTGAGTTTTTCTTTGCTGTTGGTTATTTTTGTGCGGGATTATAATTGGAGACGCATCCTTAGTACAGCCAAGCCTGCTTGTTCAGGAAACTGTGTTTTTACAGACATTCCCCAAGGACATACTCTCAGAAAAACACAATTTGCACAGAAGTTAGAAAGGCAAAGTAACTTGCATCTGAAATTCAAGAAGCAATCCTATTTTCAGTGCAGTCCCTTTTAATCCCTTTATGTAATGAAAGCTTCTATTTAAATCAATATTAAATTATTCTTTCATGGGTGACTTGAGTAAAATGTTGGTCTTCCTTTCTTTTTCTTTATATCTTATATTGGAACATGCTTCAGAAATATTTTAAATGTATAAATGCAGGCTGACTTGAAGATTGCTGCTTCTTTCATGCATCTGACCTGATCACTGAAATGTTCTTGCAGAGAACTCTTCCTTTTAAATTCTGGAAAACTAGGAGTCTGTGATCAGAGTCTTACACAACAAGCCTTACAAGGAAAGGCTGAGGGATCTGGGACCCTTCAGCCTGAGGAAAAGAAGGCCGAGAGGGGACCTGGTAGCAGCTTACTGCTACACTTGGGGAGTACATCACGAGCTCAGTGAGCAACTGTTCAACAGGGCACCTGAGGGGAAAACCAGGAGTAATGGCCACAAGCTCCTGAAAATCGATTCAGAATCAACATTAAGAACAAAATCTTCACAGTCAGGGTGTCCAGACTGTGGAATAAGCTCCCTCCCAGCGGTGGTGCAATCCCCTACCTTGGAAATCTTCAAGAGGAGACTGGACGGTCACCTTGCTGCAGTCACCTGACCCCCAATTATCTTTCCTGCTTGGTGCAGGGGGCTGGACCGGATGATCTTCCAAGTTGTCTTCAGCTTTACAATCTATGAATCACAAGAGGGTTTACTTTTGAATTTCTCTCCTGGCCTTCCTGGTGGAGTCCATAGTTTGGACTTTTGGAGTGTCGCAAAAAAGGATATCTATTACCAAAGTCAAGCAAAGACTTGGACAAATTGCTTTAAAGCTTTAGTTAGGGACATTGCTTCAAAACCCCATGGAAAATGGAACATATTAATATAGCATATAGAAAGCTTCTAGCTGTGAGCTGCAGACATGGTTAAAATATGACTTTATCTTTCTATTCTAGGTTTCATTTGGCCGTGACTTTGAACAACAGCTGAGTTTCTATGTTGAAGCCAGATCAATGTTTTGCAATTTGGAACCTGTTCTTGTCCAGTTGATTCATGTAAGAGAGAACTTATCTCTAAATGTAGTTTTATTCAGTTACGGGTTTTTCGGGGGGTTGTTTTTTTTTTCTTCTTGTTTTGTTTTTTGCAGTAGCTTTCAAAGACTGCTGTAGCTTTAGAAGACTTGTTAAGGCCTCGTCATTAGGTATTCAGAAGTATACATTTGTTCTCCCCCCCCCCCCCCCCCCCCTAAATTTTTTTGGATTTTTTTCAAAAAGGCCCGTG